CTGAGCCACCCAGATGCCCCTAAATTTTTTTAAATAAAGGCATGACACACACAGAATCATCTATATCCAATCTAGATGATGAGGAACAGTATTAATGAAAGAATTTAATTTCGTTTCTGACACGATTGCTACTCGATGTTGGTTCTCTCTTCCTTCTAAGAAGTTTAATTAAAAAAGGTTCTAGCTTGTTTCAATTTATGTAACTAGGATTTCGGGAAATAATTCACAAACACACACACAACACAAGAAGCCATAGAACATAGGCAAAGTAACTACGAAATATAATGAAAAGTGCTAATCAGTGTTTCCCACCAATTTCCTGTTCCTCCTTCAGTTAGCATTTTTAAAAAATGTCCTCTTCCCAGGGAAAACTGCAAAGCAGACAGACATAAAGATAATGGAGAAGGAGTAATAATATGTAGATAATGTACTACCACCCACAGAATAGTGTTACTTCAGTCAGCTCATTTGGATGGAAGGGCAGATGCTGGGAATGATGAGTTTACAGCATATGTAAATTACAAGTTTCTCAACTTACTGTAATAGTATAAGGGACAATGCCTTTCGGATCAGTGGAAGCCAAGGATCTGCTTTTATATGGTATAAAGCAACCCAACTGATAACAGTGTCCAACTTCTAAAAGGCAATTCTGGGGAATATTCTTTGCCTAAAGAAAGTGCAGTAAGAAAACAAAGCCACAAACATACCCTAGAACCACTCCTAGCTCCTTGACGTGAACACGCATCTGTCCCCTCAGGTACTCAGACAGCATTTTGCTCTTGAAGTATAACTCCTGTAATCGGTCTTCAAGATGCATTACACACTGCAGTTAGGGGGAAACAAGAACCAGGTAAGAAAATGGTTTCTAAGTCGAAGTAATGGCAAATTCCAAAGCATCAAGTTTATGACAATTCAGTTTTTCCTACATAAACTAAAATTTGGAGCACATTTTTAAAGCACATAATTTTAGCTGAAGGATTGTATTTTTTTTCTAGTTAATATCAAAGATTTAGATCCTACAGAGTTTCTGTTTTTGTTTAAATGTGGTAAATTATACATAATAAAAAATTTTCCATTTTAACCATTTTTAAGTGTACAATTGAGAAGCATTAAGTACATCCAAAAAAAGTGAAATTATCACCACTACACATTTCCAGAACTTTAAAAAATGTTTTTATTCCAAATTTGATAAATATAACACTCATAAATTGATGCATTTCAAATATATTTACACAGGAAAGGCTGCATTCTCCCATGGAGAGTTAAAAAAGTTAGCAATAGCTCACAGAAAATGCCCAGTAGTCCTTACTAGAAGACATGTTTCTGAGCTAGAACATTAAAAACTAAAACACATACACTTCACTTATTATCAATTAATTTGCTCAATTTAATAAAATAGGTGATTTTTGCATGTGAATTGATGCTATAACATTTGAGAAAAAAGCATGAGTTTCAAGTGTTAAAACACTGAATTCTTCCAGAGGATTCCTTTCCAATGAAAATCAACTATTAAAACTACTAATGGGGCGCCTGGCTGGCTCAGTCGGTAGTGTGTGGGACTCCTGATCTTAGGGCTGTGAGTCTGAGCCTCACAGTAGGTGTGAAGCTTACTTAAAAAAACTCCAGGGGCACCTGGGTGGCTCAGATGGCTAAGCGTCTGCCTTCGGCTCAGGTCATAATCCCAGGGTCCTGGGATCGAGCCCCACATCAGGCTCCCAGCCCAGCGGGGAGTCTGCCTCTCCCTCTCCCTCTGCCTCTCTCCCTGCTCATGCTCTCGCTCTATATTTCTCTGTATCATAAATGAATAAATTTTTTAAAAATCTTTAAAAAATAAATGAATAAATAAAAAATTAAAAAAACACCAAACTGCTAATAAAAACCCACTTTCTTCTTGGAAAAACAAAATAGAAATTATACACACACACATATATATATAAACTGTATATACAATTTACATATATCTGTGAATTTACCATATTACCCTTTTTTTTAAGAAGTAGGCTCCACGCCCAGCACAGAGCCCAATGCAGGGCTTGAACTCACAACCCTGAGATCAAGACCTGAGCTGAGATCAAGAGTCATCATATGTCTGACTGAGTCACCAAGGCACCCCCCATATTACCCATTTTTAAGTATACAATTCAGTGGCATTAAGTATAGTCACAATGTTGTGCAACCATCATCACTATCCATTTCCAGAACTTTTTTCATTATCCCAAACATTAACTCTGTACCCATTATATAGTAACTCCTCATTCCCTCCTCCCCCGAGCCCTTGGTAATCTCTCTCTACTTTCTGTCTCTGTGAATTTGCCTGTTCTAGAGACCTCATTTAAGTAGAATCCTATAATATCTGTCCTTTTCACATATTCTACTTAGCATAATGAGTTCAAGGTTCATCCATATTGTATCAGAATGTATCAGAATTTCATTCCCTAGCTTGGCTGAAATATTCCATTCTATGTATTATACCACATTTTGTTTATCCATTCATTTGTTAATGGACATGAGGTGTTTTCAACTTCTGGCTATTGCAAATAATGCTGCCATAAACATGATGGTATAATTTTTGAGTCCCTGCTTTCAACTGTTTTGAATATAAAACCACAGGTAGAATTGCTGGATCACAGGGCAATACAATGTTAAACTTCTTGAAGAACTGCCAAAGTGTTTTTCACAGCAGCTGCACCATTTTACATTCCCACCAGCAATGCACAAGGGTTCCAATTTCTCCACATTTTGGCTAATACTTGTTTTTTGTTTTTGATTATAGCCACACTTACGGGTGTGAAGGAGTACCTCACTGTGGTTTTGATATGTACTTTCCTGAAGATCTTTTCATATGCTCATTGACCATATCCACTTCTTTAGAGAAATGTCTATTTGCCTATTTTTAAATTGAGTTTTTCTTTGTTACTCTGGATACCAATCTCTTTGAACATATATGATTTACAAATATTTTCTCCTGCTCTGCAGATTGTCTCTTCACTTGTTGATAGTGTCCTTTGGTGAACAAAAATTTTGATTATTGATAAAGTCCCATGAATCTGTTTTTTACTTTTGTTGCTTGTGCTTTTGGTGTTAAATCCAAGAAATCCCTGCCAAATCAAATGCCATAAGGATTATCCCCTATGCTTTCTTTGAACAGTTTTACATAGTTTAAGCACTTAAGTTTCAATTTAAGTCAGATTCAAGTTTGAGTTCATTTCTGTACATGCAATAGGTAAGGGTTCAACTTCATTCTTCTACATGTGGATATCCAGTTTTCTCAGCATGGTTTATTTCAAGGGCTCCTTTCCTCTTTGAATGGTCTTGGCTCCCTTGTCCAAAACCAACTGACCATATAACTAAGGGTTTATTTTTGGGCTATTATATTCTTTTGGCCCATATGTCTGTCCTTATGCCAGTATCACACTGTTTTGATTATTGTCACTTTGGAGTAATTAGGAGGTCTGAGTCCTCCATCTTTGTTCTTCTTTAACAGTGCTTTCTTAACTTCCATTTTAGACTGTTCATTGCTAGTGTATGTAAATGGAACTAGCTTTGCATGCTGATTTTGTATCTTGCAATTTTGCTGCATTCATTTTTAGCTCTATCAGTTTTTTTGTGGAATCTTCAAGTTTTCTATGTTTAAGATTATGTCATCTGCATGTGGTATATATATACAATGGAATATTATGCAGCCATCAAAAGGAATGAGATCTTGCCATTTGCAACGACGTGGATGGAACTGGAGGGTATTATGTTGAGTGAAATAAGTCAAACAGAGAAAGACATGTATCATATGATCTCACTGATATGAGGAATTCTTAATGGCAGGAAACAAACTAAGGGTTGCTGGAGTGGGGGGTGGGGTGGGAGGGATGGGGTGACTGGGTGATAGACACTGGGGAGGGTACGTGCTCTGGTAAGCGCTGTGAATTGTGCAAGACTGTTGAATCTCAGATCTGTACCTCTGAAACATATAATGCAATATATGTTAAGAAAAAAAAAAAGAAGAAGAAGAAGGTAGTGGGAGGGGAAGAATGAAGCGGGGGAAATCGGAGGGGTAGACGAACCATGAGAGACGATGGACTCTGAAAAACTGAGGGTTCTAGAGGGGAGGGGGGTAGGAGGATGGGTTAGCCTGGTGGTGGGTATTGAGGAGGGCACATTCTGCATGGAGCACTGGGTGTTATGCACAAACAATGAATCATGGAACACTTCATCTAAAACTAATGATGTAATGTATGGGGATTAACATAAGAATAAAAATAAATAAATAAATAAATAAATAAATAAATAAATAAATAAATAGGAAAAAAAAAAAAGATTGTCATCTGCAGAGAGAATTTTACTTCTTCCTTTCCAATTTGGATGCCTTTCTTTTTCTTGCTTAACTGCTCTGGTTAGCGCTTTCTAGTTAGTACTCTGATGAAAAGAAGTGGTGAAAGTGGGCATCCATGTCCTGTCCGTGATCACAGGGGTAAAACTTTCAATATTTCACCAATGAGAATAAGGTTAGCTGTGGTTTTGTCATATGTGGCCTTTATCAAGTTGATCTACAGAGGTTTTTAAGTAAGCTGTATTATATTTGTCCTAACAAGAAAAAGAAGAACTTTGAAAGCTGGAAATGGTGTCTTCAGTAAGAGGTTATTCAGTATTACGAAGAGTGTTCATTCTAAGTCCTAACAGGACAATGAGGCTCTAGAAAGCACTGGCATTCTGCACAAAGCTTGGGGACACTGCATGTCCATACCTTATATGAAACTAGTCAGGCACCAAATTCCAGCTGCGAAACCATACAACACATAGACATGTACACATCCCCTTGGGCTGCCATTACAAAATACCATAGATTCAGTGATTTAAACAACAGAGAATTATTTTTTCACAGTTCTGGAGGCTGGAAGTGTGAAGGTCAGGGTGCTAACATGTTCCAGTTCTGTCAACAGCTCTCACCTGGGCACGCAGATGACTGTCTCTGGCTCTGTCCTCACAATCTCTCTTCCTTTTCTTAGGATATCCACGAATCCCATCATGAGGACTCCACCCTCATCACCTAATCTAACCCTGATTACCTCCTAAAGGCCCATCTCCAAATACCATCATACTGGGTATCAGGGCTTCAACACATGGATTTTAGAAAAACACAAACCTTCAGTCCATAACATCTCTTTTCTGGGAAACAATGAGGAAGCTAACAGCAGTGTTCAACATAGGCACATACTAAATAAAGTTCAGTCACCTATCGGAGTGCCAAATAATTCAAGCCTTATACATACTTACAAAATTTGGAGACAAGTTATGTTTATAAAGCTGAAGAGTGGAATGAAGCAGGTTGGACACAAGACTGGAAACCAAGACTTCCTTTCCCAATTTATTATCTGTCATTCGTCTCTGGCTACTGGCCACTTGAACAGTCCATTTATCCATATCTGCTATAATACAGACAGCCTCTGCTATTGGTTCATCCAACACTGGATGCTGGAAAAAAGAATTCATCTTATGATAAGTAAATGAAGTTTTCAAATAAATGTTAATGAAAATAAGGCAAGAGATATTAAACAAAAACAGAATAAAAGGATATTAAATTCTGACAACTACTGCCAAAGAATCCTTGACAGTAGAAAATGGAATATTTAATTAACTCAGTAACAAATACCGTGAGATAACTTATAGAAATCATCACTGGGGGCACCTGGGTGGCATTGGTTAAGTCATGATCTCAGGGTTGGGCTCTGTGCTCAGCGGGGAGTCTGCATGAGTTTCTCTCTCTCCCTCTCTCCCCCCGCAAATAAATAAATCTTAAAACAAAAAAAAAGGAAAAAAAGAAATTATCACTGTTGAGATTCATTGCCAGAACTTTGTATTCTTTTTTTAAGTTTTGATTTAAACATTTTAACATTTAAACATTAATATTTAAAAAACTGATGCAAAAAGAATTCACATGAGCAAGTCAAAGCTAAGGTTCTGTGCTAACTATCCCAACTCGTCAGACATTAATTTGTTTGAGCACCTCAAGGGCTATCACTTGATTACATGAAATACCTTGCTGCTTATGTTCCCTAGGTTTTTCTATTTTACCATAATGTATATCCACAATATAGCTAACAGCAATTAAAAAAGGAAACCAATCACCAGGTACTAATATGGCTCTCCAAGACATATGGTTAAATCAGAAAAAAAAGTCATTAAACACCTAGACACACGTGCACACAGGCACCCACATATACATATTATATCCATCCCAGTTACATTTTTTAAAATTAGTATCTATATCTAAACAAATGTATAGAGAGAAGAATGAAAATATTCAAATCAGACTCTATCATGAAGATCTCTGTGAAGAAGTATGGAATATTAAGAGTACAATTAAGGATGTCTTTTTGCTTTTGTGTATCTTTATTTTGTTGGAATTCCTATCAGAAGCATTTACCTAATTGATACTTTTATAATTAGAAAGTTTAAGGCATAATGAAAAATAATTTAAACATATACAAAATAAAAGGCCCATAGCACATCGCTGTACCCTTGGCTTCTCATGGTTTATACACAAAGACCAAAATTGACAATTAAGTACAAAGCACCATTATCAAAAAGAAATGATGGAGAAAAGAAGAAAAGACAGAAAAGAAAAAAGAAAAAGAGAAGAAAGAGAAGAGAAGAAAGAAAAGAGAGAAAAGAAAGAAAAGAAAAAAAAAAAAGAAAGAAAGAAAAAAGATCCTACAGGGGCGCCTGGGTGGCTCAGTCGTTAAGCGTCTGCCTTCGGCTCAGGTCCTGATCCCAGGGTCCTGGGATCAAGCCCTGCATCGGGCTCCCTGCTCCGCGGGAAGCCTGCTTCTCCCTCTCCAACTCCCCCTGCTTGTGTTCCCTCTCTTGCTGTCTCTCTGTCAAATAAATAAAATCTTTAAAAAAAAAAAAGAAAAGATCCTACAGTGCTCAACATTTCAACATCTTTCTATATTTAGAAAGCTAAGGATTTATTCACCACTGGCCATATGGAATAGCAGTAATAAAACTGAGATTAAAAACTGTAATTTGAGGGGCACCTGGGTGGCTCAGTCATTAAGCGTCTGCCTTCAGCTCAGGTCATGATCCCGGGGTCCTGGGATCGAGCCCCACATCAGGCTCCCTGCTCCGCAGGAAGCCTGCTTCTCCCTCTCCCACTCCCCCTGCTTGTGTTCCCTCTCTCGCTCTCTGTCAAAAAATAAATAAAATCTTAAAAAAAAACAAATACTATAATTTGAAGTACTTGAACCCAATGGCCTTTTTCCTTTCAAACTTGTACTGTTACTACAAGTTTATAGCAAAGAATGTAGGTTTGCTCCTTGATAAACCCAGGTTTGCCATGCCCAAAGGATATCCCTTTGCCCAGTAAATGAAGAACCACTATGAATAAGGCTTTTGGCTTGATGCTAAGTAAACAAAGACAATGGAGCTCACAGTCCTGTGTGGGAGATAAAAATAAATACAACTGGCTATAAAAAGACATGTGTAACAGACAAAACAGATATCAAGTGCTGAGGTAGCAGAGGAGGGCAATAATGGTTTCTTGTGTGAGTGGGAGTTTCACAGAAGTGACACAGGGACATAACATTTAAGTATGGATTGGATTGCTGGTGAAAAATCAGAGAGGAATATGGATAAATCTGTGAGAGAATACCATGAGAAGACTTAGAGACATAAGTAGATGCATGTGACTAAATTAGTGAAATGTGATACTGAGAAGCAGTGAAGAAGAGAATGGCAAAGAAAAAACCTGGAAAGATACACTGTGAAAACTTTCCATGGAACTCTAAACTTTATATTTGTTGTTATAAAATAGTACTCAAATATTTCTTATTCACCTCTTACCAGGAATATAACATTTTTCAATTCACCAACTTAGTTACTGAAATATAATTTTGGAAATGGTACATACATCTAAAGATGTAAGGTATACCTTACATTTTTAAGAAACAAAGTAACAGTAGACATATTTTAATGTAAGTATTTCTATGGTTATAAAAGAAAAATAAGGCAGGAGGCATGATCAAATAACCAAAATGGAATAACAAACTGTTAAAGACAGACATTACTTTCAAAAGCAGTGGGCATCTTTAGGAAATGATATTTATGAAGGGGGTACATTTCCTCACAAGGAAATGCCTCAACAGATAATGAGGAAACAGCTACAAAATACACCTTGCTTAAAAAGTTACAAACCATTTTAGAAATTAACTTTATAGCCCTTCAATCAAAAGGCATGTGGCTAAGATTTTTCTTTTTTTTCCTTTTTTCCCCCCACAAGTTTTTATTTACATTCCAGTTAGTTAACATATAGTGTAATATTAGCTTCAGGTGTACAATACAGTGATTCATCACTTCATGCAACACCTGCCTTCCTTAATCCGTATTACCTATTTCATCCTCCCACCTCCAACCACTTCCCCTCCAGTAACCACCAGTTTGTTCTCTATAGTTAAGAGTCTGTTTCTTGGTTTGCCTCTCTTTTTTGTTTGTTTGTTAAATGGTTTATCTAACCAAAACCTATAAAAGCTACTTTTTGGTAAAGAAAAGGAAAATGGTCCCAAGTCAGTAGTCTCCCAAGTGAGAAGGGCTTAAAACCAAGCTTATGATCAGAAATAATTCAAAATTGCTTTAGAAGTTGTTGAAAACAAAAATGGGGGGAAGTGCCATTCATTCATTTTGATTGCTTGTTTTCACTCAATGGACTGTCATATGCAATGTCCTAATCTGGTAAAATTTCAATTTAGACAATCCCAGTCTTTCTCTTCATCATCAACGTCTGGAAAAGAAAGCCTATAACAAATGGGAGTATATTCTCAAGTAAGACCTTGTAGTGGCCTCCTCCACAATCTTTACTGAGATTATATCCAGCTTCAGAAACTTCCTAGTCATAAAATGAAGTAATTTATGTGAGACAGAAACAGTAAATATAAAGCTTTATTTTTCTTAAATCTTCTTTTCTGAGTTTTATGACTTCTATAATACAAATTCATCCACAACCTTACCAGCCTTTTTTCTCTACCAGGCATTTCCAGAATGTCAATACATAAACTCCCCAATCTCTTCTCTAGCAGATACATATTCCCATATCTCCACCCTGTAACAAAACCTGATTTTTCAGTTGCCTGCTAAGTATTCAAACATGGCCTAATAAACTGCACGTTTGAACTAAAAAACGTACCAAATCAACTTCAGTGTACTCTCTTCAAAACTAGCAAGTTTCTTCAATTAACTTTCAAAATAAAAATAAGACCCCCAATGTTGCAGAAGGAACAGGCCTTAAAGATACTGCAAATTACAGTTCAAATTGGCATTGCCTTTTGGAGAAGAAAACCAACATACATCAAGAACATGAAAATAATCCTAACCTTAAAACCTAGCCAATACCACATTTCTGGGAATCCAGACTAAAGAAATTATCCTAAATTCTTAATAACAACAGTAAAAGGAAGAAAAAGTTGAGCAACAAAGAATAGAGAACCCAGAAATAAACTCATGCATAATGCTCTATTAACATATGACAAAGGTGCCAAGAATATACATACAATGGAGAAAGGATAGCCTCCTTCAGTAGATGGTGCTGGGAAAACTAGACAGCCAGAGGCAAAAGAATGAAACTGGATCCCTATTGCACACCATTACACAAAATTCAACTCAAACCAATTAAAGACTTGAACATAAGACCCAAAAGCATAAAAATCCTAGAAGAACATAGGAAGTAAGCTCTCAGGTATCAGTCTTCGCAATGATTTTTTGGATTTGACACCAAAAACCAAGACAATGAAAGCAAGCTATACTAAAATGTTGCTGCACAGGGGCGCCTGGGTGGCTCAGTCGGTTAAGCGTCTGCCTTCGGCTCAGGTCACGATCCCAGGGTCCTGGGATCGAGCCCCGCATCGGGCTCCCTGTTCGGCGGGAAGCCTGCTTCTCCTTCTCCCTCTCCCACTCCCCCTGCTTGTGTTCCCTCTCTCGCTGTGTCTCTCTCTGTCAAATAAATCAATTAAAAATCTTTAAAAAAAAAATAATAATAAAATAAAATGTTGCTGCACAGCAAAGGAAACCATCAGCAAAATGAAAAAGCAGCCTACGGAATGGGAGAAAATATTTGCAAACCATAAGAGGTTAATATCCAAAATATGTAAGGAATTCATACAACTCAACAGCAAAGGAGGAAAGAAAAAAAAAAAAAAACCCTAACAATCTGATTTTAAAAATGTGCAGATAAACTGAATAGGCATTTTTCCAAAGAAGACATACAAATGGCCAACAGGTACATAAAAAAATGCCCAACATCACTCATCATCAGGGAAATGCAAATCTAAACCACAATGAGATATCACCTCACATCTATCAGAATGCTGGTTATCAAGACGAGCATAACAAGTATTGGCGAGGGTGTGAAGAAAAGAGAACCCTTGTGCACTGATGGTGGGAATGTAAACCGGTACAGCCACTATGGAAAACAGTATGGAGCTTCCTCAAGAAATTAAAAACAGAACTACCATATCCTCCAGCAATACCACTTCTAGGTACACATATATTCAAAGACATGAAAACAGGCTATCAAAGAGGTATCTGCACTCCCATGTTCATTGCACCATTATTCACATTAGCGAAGACAGACACACCTAACTTTCCATCAATAAATGAATGGATAAAGAAGAAGCAATACACACACACACACACACACACACAGGAATAGTATTCAGCCATGAGAACTCAAGATGGAAATCCTGCCATTTGCAACAATACAAATGGACCGTGAGGGCATTATGCTAAGCGAACTAAGTCAGACAGAGAAAAACAAATACTGTATGATCTCACACACCTAGAATCTTAAAAAAAAAAAAAAAAACCAAACTCACAGAAACAGAGAAGAGATTGGTGGGTGATGGGGGGTGGGGGTAGGATGGAAGAAATGGGTGAAGTTAGTCAGAAGGTACAAACTTCCAGTTATTAAGACAAGTAAGTTCTGGATATGTAATGTACAGCATGGTGACCATACTTAACAACACTGTATTGTATATATGAAAGTTGCTAAGGGAATAGATCTTAAAAATTCCCATCACAAGAGTAGTACCTGGGTGGCTCAGTCAGTCAAACATCTGATTCTTGATTTTAGCTCAGATCATGATCTCAGAGTCTTGAGATCCAGCCCCATGTCGGGCTCCTCACTCAGTGGGGAATCTGCTGGAGATTCTCTCTCCCTCTCCCTTTGCACTTCCAAACCCTATATACATATATACTATATATAAAAAAATGTGTATCTGTAAAAAAAGAATTTGTATCACTTAATAGTATTTTATATATATATATACACACACACACACACATAAGGCCCCAGTTATATATGTATATAAAATGCATATATATATATATATATATACACACACACACACGCACACACACACATAGAGTAACTATGACAAAAAGGTGTAAGACAGAGAGTACCTAATATACACAAAACACCACATAGTATAACTCTGGTACATAAACATTAATACCACTTTCATTACAGCCAAGGAAACTGAGGTTCTATAAAATTAAATATCTTGTCTTAGGATACACAGATAGGAAGTGGCAAGTCTGGGTTTCATCAGATGCCACATACTACATAATGACTGGAAGAGGTCTTTATATTAAGAATGGCTGCCATCAAAAACTAATGTTGTACTATATGCTGGCTAATTGAACATAGTAAAAATAAATTAATTAATTTAAAAAAAGGATGGCTGCCAATGAATGGCAGACTTGGGAAAACTTGTGTTTAGCTTTCTACACATTTCAATCTTTTATATAGTAAATATATATTTAATTTGGTAATAAGAAAAATGCCACTTTCTTAGAAACTGAGGAGTAAAAGAAAAGACACTCTACTAAAACAGTTCAGAAGAATAAGATTGTATTTTTTTCAAAAGTACTATCCTCATGATTTATCTATTAAAAGATTCCTACGGGGTTTTCCATGTAGGCATATAAGAAATAGTTTTCATGTTAAATGTGATGGTAAAAAATTATTAGCAAACAATAATTAAAATCATTAAATGTAAACTTTATAATGAAGAGAGAAAAGCAAATGATAAAAAATCCAACCTGTTAGTGCTTAAGTTTGGTATTTTAGTTTTCACTTCCTCAAAATCTTCTGTGATCTGCTTTGATAGTAAAATATCTTATATACTTAAATGAAAATATAAGAGGGAAAGACTAGAAACCCAGTTATGAAAACAAAGGGCAGAAGATGGAAAGCTCTTACCTTTCACCATAGTGGAATGATTCCCAGAGCAAGAGAAGTGGAACTCCTAATATAAAAGTCTTGCAAGCTTTGTTAATGCCAATTTTGCTATTTTATTTATATTTACCTTTGTTCATCTGTTTTAGAGACAGTGTTTTGTATATATTAAGCACAGACACTTAAGAGCATTGCTGAAGAACAGGCAGATCAGGACTGATTTCTAGCTCTGCCATCCCCTATCTAATGTAACTTCAAACACCTCTCTGTGCTATATCTGAAATATAGGAATGATAATAGTAAGTACCATAAAATTAAGTGAGGTATTACATTTAAGTACCTGACACACATTAAGGCTACAATAAAAACTAAATGCTTATTATTATTACTATTGCTCCTATTCCTAAGGTAAAAACCCTTTAAAAACAGAAATGTTTTGTCTTCAATAGGAGACAGTCACCCCCTCCAGTTCCAGGCCTCCAGAGGCAACATCAAAGAACGTAGTGTGTGCTAATGGGTATAGATGGGGGGGGCGGAAAAAGATACTGAATGACTGAGATCAAACAGAAAAGAAAGACAAGAGGACACAAAGAGCATCACAAGGACCCACATCAGATTTCCTAACCAAGTATTTCAACAAATACTGAATACTCTATCAGGCAATGGGAGGACAGAATTGAAAAAAATAGAAAAGGTTGCTATATTCTGAAGAACAAATGCCATTAAGTGATATAAATTCTTTCCTGTGAAGCATTAAATTACTTATTAGTATCTGTCTCAGGCATTTATTTTTTTATGTGTTGTATTACACTTACTCATATACGTACATCCCTTACTTCCTCCATTACTGAGTAAATAACTTCAGAAGTTATTTATTTTTCATCCATATATTCCTTGGACAATCAGCATCATGTTCAGAACACAATATGTCAGTAAGTATTTATTTGATTGGTGTTAAAGCGTTGAGCAAGATGGCTTTTAAATATAAAGAACACGAGTTTTTTTGTTTCTTTGTTTTTAAGATTTTATTTATTTATTTGACAGAGAGAGAAGGAACACAAACAGGGGGAGTGGGAGAGGGAGAAGCAGGCTTCCCACCCAGCAGGGAGCCTGATGGGGGCTCGATCCCATCATAACCCAAGCTGAAGGCAGACGCTTAACGACTGAGCCACCCAGGCACCCCAAGAACACGAGTTTTGGTAAGTTTTCTTTTAAACTTTGTTTTTATATCTAGATTTTTCTGAATTTCCCTACTATACAATAAAACACCAAACTTTAGAACTTAAGATAATTTACTACAAACACAGGAGGTTTAAACCTTTCTAGCTAATAATTAAGGGAATGCTTGCTCAATGAGCCATTATTTTCTCACCCATGATTTCCAGTTGGCTTTCTCCATTCCTAAAGATGTTCTCACAATGGGAAAGGAGAAGGTTTTGTTAAAAAAAAAAAATTATTAGAATGACACATGGAATTGAAGAAAGAAATAGAAAACTCAACAAAAGCTGGTGACTTCAATACTCCATGCTCAATAAACGATGGAACAACTACACAAAAAATCAGCAAGAACGTGGAAAAATCAGCAAGAATGCAGAAACCTAAATGCTATCACAACCAACTTGACCTGACATCTAGAGTACTTTCTGCCCAAAAACAGGCAGCTTTTTTTTTTTTTTTAAGATTTTATTTATTTATATGACAGAGAAAGAGAGAGAGAGAGCATAGTGGCAGTGGCACACAGAGGGAGAAGGGGAAGCAGGCTCCCCGCCGAGCAGGGACCCCGGGATCATGACCTGAGCCAAAGGCAGATGCTTAACCAACTGAGCCACCCAGGCGCCCCAACAGGTGACTATTTTTTCAACTACATGTGCAACATTCTCCAGGACACACCACATGCTGGGCCAGAAAACAAGACTCAATACATTTAAAAGGACTAAAATCATACAAAGTTTGTTCTCTGACCACAATGGAACCAATTTAGAAATGAAGAAAAGGAAATCTAAGAATTCCACAAATATTTGGAGATCAAAAACATACTTCTACATAAACCATGGGTCAAAGAAATGGCAAGGAAAATTAGAAAATATTTTGAAGTGAATGAAAATGAAAACAAAACACTGAAATTTATGAGCTTCGGTTAAAGCAGTGCTTAGAGGACAATTTAGAGCTGAATGCCTATATGTGAAAAGAAAAAATACCTCAAATTAATAACCTAATCTTCTACCTTAACAAAAAAAAGAGCAAACTACATCCACAGCAAGCAGAAGGGAAGAAATAACAAAGATGAGGATAGAAATTAATGAAAAAAAAAAAAGACCAAAAAATAGAGAAAATCAGTGAAAACAAAAGTTGTTTTCCTTGAAAAGATTAATAAAATTAACACACCTTCAGCTAGGATAGGAATCAGCCAACTTCTTCTATAAAGAGCCTGAGAGAGAAAATATTTTAGGCTCTAGAGGCCATAAGGTCTCTGTCTCAGTGACTCAACTCTGCTCCTGAAGCAGGAAAACAGTCACAAAGTATATAAATAAATGGGTGTAGTCATGTTCCAGTAAAACTTAATTTAAAAAAGCCTATTTGTCCCATGGGCCACAGCCTACTCATCTTTGATGCATATGGGCCAAAAATAACTATTAATGAAGTCAAGTCATGAATGAAATCTTCTTTGGAATATTCTACTTTTAGGAGGGGAAAAAAAGAAAAACCACAGATTACAATAATCAGGAATGAAAGAGAGGACATGACCAATGAACTTACAGAAATTAAAAAGATTATAAATGGGGGCGCCTGGGTGGCTCAGTCAGTTAAGTGTCTGCCTTTGGCTCAGGTCATGATCCCTGAGTCCTGAGATTGAGCCCCACATTAGGCTCCCTGCTCAAGGGGAGTCTGCTTCTCCTTCTCCCTCTGCCCGTCCCTGCCGCTTGTGCTCTCTCTTCCTCTCTCTCTCTCTCTCTCGCTTGCTCTCAAATAAAATCTTTGAAAAAAAATTTTAAAAAAGATTATAAATGTATGCTATGAACCATTTTATTCCAACAGATAAATGAAATCATTTAAATGTAACTAATTCCTAGAAAGACAAAAATTACCAAGATTGACTCAGGAAGAAATAGAAACTTGGAATAGATCTAGAACAAGAAATTGAATCAGCAATTTAAAATATTCTCATTTTAAAAAGTCCAGGTCCAAATGACTTCACAGGTGAATCGTATCCAACATTTGGAGAAAAAATAATACCAACCTTCCAGAAACTCTTCCAGAAAATAGAGGAGGGAACACATCTCATCTCATTCTATGAGGCAAGTATTATTCTGATATTAAAGCCAGACAAATGTATCACAAGAAAACTATACACTAATATCCCTCATGAATACAGATTCTAAAATTTGTAATAAAATATTAGCAAATCATATCTAGTAATATATAAAAACAACTATATACTTTGACCAGGTGGGATTTTTTCCCTAGGAATACAGAAGTTGGTTAACATCTAAAAATCTACCACCTCTAATGTAATCAATCACATTAACAGATTAAGGAAGAAAAGCCAAATGATCATATCAGTAGGCACAGAAAAAGTATTAGACAAAATGCCATATCCATTCATGATTTAAAGGTGGAGGGAACAAAGAAACTAGGACTAGAAGGAAACTTTCGCCATTTGATAAAGGGCATCTTTAAGAATCCCACAGCTAACATCATACTTAATCATGAAAGAGTCGATGTTTTCCCCTAGTATGAGGAAGAAGACAAGGATGTCCACTATTAGCACCTCTATGCAACACTGTACTGAAGGTTCTAGCCCATAAAAATCAGGCAAGAAAGACAAAAGGCATCCAGACTGGGGAGGAAGATGCAAGACTGTCTATTCATCAATGACAAGAACGTGTATGTAGAAAAACCTAAGGAATCCACACAGAAAATTACAAGAACTAATAAAAGAGTTCAGCAAGGTTGGGGCAGCTGGGTGGTACAGCTGGTTAAGCATCTGACTCCTGGTATCAGCTCAGGTCCTGATCTCAGGGTTATGAGATCGAGCCCTATGTCAGGCTCCACACTCAATGCAGAGTCTGCTCAAGACTCTGTCTCCCTCCCCCCTGCCCCTCCCTCACATGCTCCCTCTCTCTCTCTAAAACAAATTTTTTTTTTTTTTTTACAGATTTTATTTATTCATTTGACAGAGACACAATGAGAGAGGGAACACAAGCAGGGGGAGTGGGAGAGGGAGAAGCAGGCTTCCCGCAGAACAGGGAGCCCAATGCGGGGCTCAATCCCAGGACCCTGGGATCATGACCTGAGCTGAAGGCAGACGCCTAATGACTGAGCCACCCAGGCGCCCCTAAAATAAATAAATCTTAAAAAAAAGTTTAGCAAGGTAGAAGAATATAAGATTAATATACAAAAATCAGTTGTACTTCTATATAAGCAATGAACAATCTGAAAATGAAATTGAAAAAATAATTGCTTTCACATTTAAGCATTTGCAATTTTTTTGATATCATAAATGACCTGATGATGAACATCCATGGATACAAACAATACTTTCTGTATTTCAGATTTATGTTTGTATAGATTCCTGAAACTCTCTACTTGCTTTCATGGTGACAGGTACAAAAGTGACAGATTAAGAGAACAATGATTGTGTTACATAGTGAAGTATGACCAAAAATATACGGTAACTTGGGGGTTCTACCAGTTAACAAAGTTCATTCTAAATAAATTCAAGAGCAGTGAAGGTAACTCACCTGCACAGCATGAGACAAATCTGATACCAGACACTGACGGAGCCTCTCATCATTCCCAATTCCTTGAAGAACAAAGTCAGGCACATAAGATGAGCAGTAGCCACCCAACAAGGACCTCCCAAAGTTGGCAATGTTTGGCTGAACAGCACTCACTTCAATTAATTTTGACCTGGAAGAAAGGTCCCAAAAGAAGGCATATCCAATTAGTAATAAACGTATTTTATCAATAAAAAAATTTTTGGACTCTACTAGTCCATATTTCTAGTACCATCATTTTCTACAAAATACAGAGTACAATCATCCTTAAGTAAAAACTGGCCTAAGCGATAAATCGGACCACAAAATACTCCTTCCTATCCTGAAAAGAAGGTGGATGAACAACTATGTAATGACGTGAGTATAAATCTTTCATAAGAGACATCCAGAATGCTGTCCCTTGTGTATGTAATACATTCTTAATACAATCAGAAAATGAAAACCGTCATCTAAAACAAAGTAGCTAAATATTAAATACATCACAAACCCAAAGCATGGAATATAATATTTTTCAAATATGAATCTTCTCCTTGTATACTTTACCCACATTATACATTTCCTGTTTTTCTTTTAGTCTTCACCAAATTTATTTCTAACAGCCATTTCCTAGTTTCTCTGTGATTACCTCTCTTTAGTTGCCGGGCTCAGCACAGGTCCATATTTGGGGACATAATTCACTCCTAAATGACTTGAAAACTCCTAAGCAGAAAGAATCTCCTACATACAAATATGCTTTTCTTTAACGCCTTCACAGAACGTTTCTGGGGTACCTATGGGGCTCAGCCTTTAATCTTTCCTTAAAACCACACAGTAACAGAAGAGAATCTGTCCAGGACAATGATCTCTTCCTTTATATTAGTTACCACCAACCTTCAGAGACCATCTAAACAGAAGAATGGTACATATTTACATAGGGTCTATTATAGGTTAAAACTTCCTACTTACCCAGGAAAAGGTATCTCATCTTCTTCTGCCCAATCTTCTTGCTCTCCTCCATAGTAACTGCTTACTTGTCTAGTCATATCATGACCTGTATCTTCACTTTCACTATCCCCAAGGGCACTATCTGAACTTTCATTTCGTGGAATGTCCCATTCAGTTCCTACAGCAATTTTTTTCTCTGAACTCTCTTTATCCCCATGGGGGACAAGAATGGAGAGTGCATCTCTTTGGTCCTGCTGAGGAAAGCAGGTTTTACATGAATCCTGATGAACTGTTTCTACACATTTACAAAATTCACTGTTCTGTTTGCTATTTTTTGTACACAATCCTTTTGAAAATTCTAACATACAGCAGTGTTCTTTACTGTCTATACTTGTTTTAACTGCAATAATATCATCAATAGTCCTGGTTTCAATTGAATCATCATTAAAATATTCATCAAATAAGCTCATGCTTTCTGGGTCTGAATGATTCCAACAGGGAGGTTCACAGGTCTCTCCAGAAACCATGTTTGGTATATCAGACTTGCCAGATTGGTCCTTAGTTGTTTGTTTAGTTTCTTGATGCTGCTGATCAATAGCCCCTCCTTCTTCCTTCAGTGGTTTGGTGTGGTGCCTGGTAATCTGATCCACCACTGCCTGACTCCTGAGTTCAGTATCTGAGTCAGGGGACATAGAATCTCCAATCAAGAAGGTAACCTTTGTCTGTGATGCTTCACAAGAAAATGCAGCAGTCACAAGCTTATCTGGAGGTTTTTTTTCCACAACCATTCCTGTGGATCTCAACACTTTGCCTGTGTGATTACCTGAACCTAGCAATTCCTCATTATGCCATGTTTCCTCTGCTGGCTCTAAGCCTGATTTTGACAAGGCACATTTGTCTACTGGAGCAGATCCTGTGCAAACAACAGTCTCTAACTTGGTATCAAGGCAAGTTCTTAATTTATCTCTGAACTGTTTAACATCAACAGCATTTTCTTCTTGGCAGTCAGAGGGAGAAATCATTTGACACTCGTCTGAAATTCCTAGCAGCTCCTTAGAGCTGTTCTGAATATCTTCTCTCTCTTGTTGTGAAACATTCTCTGTATTTTGCCCAAGGAGTGGACGACTGCAGTATTTACAGCTACAATTAGGAGTCCTTGTTTCTTCTGGGTCTTTAAAGAGCAAACTGCTTTTGTTTTTATGCATTGTGATAAGCACATACTCAGATTCTTCTATTTCACCTTTCTCTAAAGTGGTAGTAATTACTGTGCCTGGCATAACAATGGCTTCATCTTCTCCATTTTCTAAAAGATGGGTTTCTTGAAGTTCAGAGCATCTTATAAAATAAGTAAGAAAATAAAGCAGCCTCTGGACCATGTCTTGTCGTTTGCCAACCACCACAGTCCTCGCTAACCGTACAGGAGAACCAATAGCGCCATACAAGTCCCCTGCAATGGAAGAATCAGTTAATGAACACATCCTCTCCTCATATAGCCAAGCAGGCTATTTCCAATGATCAGATACCTACTCTTATTGTATGAAGGTTAGTTCAGCTTTTACTCTAGTTCTTTAATAGGTGAGTGACTATTCAGGAGGATAGGATGAGATAAATGGTATTTACCAAAGAGAAAGGTGAATAGAGGGGTCTTCTAGTTTCCTCTTTAAGGAGCTCCTGTGGTTCTGAAACCTCAACCAAAGAGTTAATTGTGAAAGTCACACTGACCAAGAATATTCTCTGTGCAGGTCTCATGCAGAGCACCTTACTGGGGCAGAGAAGTACTACCTAAAGAACTATATGCGAAAGGATTCTATAGCTGCATCTAATGCAGAGAAGAGAAAGCACAGTTTCTACTGGTGGGCAAGGAGAAAAGGGAGTAGTGGTAGAACGTGGAGAACTGGAGTAGTCACATCACACACTTAACCTTTAAATCACATCTCTGAACCTTAACTGTTATTGCCTTACCTAGGACCCCAAACTATTTCCCATGTTTTTAAAAGCCCTTCTATTTCTTAGCGGGTTGGGTACTCAGAAAAGACCAGAAGGACAAGAAGAGTGAGACCTATCCTGACTAAGAGGAAAAGAAGGGGCAACACATTCAGCCATGTGGTTCATTTTCACTTTTGTATCCACACTAGACGCCAACATAAGAAAAGGGCAATGGGAACCTACGGGTTATCAATGTAATTTCTGTATTTATGCTATACTCAAATTAGATGAAGAAAAAGGTGCCAAAGCACACTTAAAAATAGAGAATACAAAGTCATTAATTTAAACTTAATTCAATTTTAGCAAGTTGTCTGTATACACACTTTAAAGCCTAACTCCCACACTTTTTAAGGGAACAAACAAATAGGTCTCAGATAAATATATGCTACAGACAGTACTATGACAATTCTCCTCCTCTAATTAATACTCTGGCTCTAATGCCATCACATGCCACCGTCCAAAACTACTCCTAAGGTTCTCATGGATTACCAAATAAACTGAGCTGCTTTGACATGGCAAGTGAGTCTTTCCTGACCGGTTCCACTTTACTTTTCCAGGTTTATCTTCTTATAGTTACACTTTTTCATCATTATTCGCACTAAGTCCCACTTAAAGCAGACTACTTAAACCGGAACACTGAATCAACTCAGCACTCTTAACACCTAGACCCCTTTCCTCATGCTATGTGCTTGCCCTTTCCTGTTTCTCTGCCAGTCCAAAGCTTCCCACCCAAGCATCCTCCCTTGGGCAAAAGTAAGCTTCCCTAACTGAAATTTCACTGAACTTTTCGTTTCTCTTACAATTCCTCTTTGAATTATCATTATTGTCCTCATATTTATTACCTTCAGTAATAAACTGTCCACTTATTTTTTTTTAAGATTGTATTTATTTGAGAGAGCGAGCATGCATGAGCATGCATGCACAGGGGGGAGGGGCAGAAGGAGAGGGAGAAGCAGATTCCCCACTGAGCAGGGAGCCCAAAGAGGGGCTCAATCCCAGTACCCCGAGATCATGACCTGAGCCAAAGGCAGACACTTAACCTACTGAGCCACCCAGGAGCCCCTAAATTGTCCACTTTTTTTTTTTTAAAGATTTTATTTATTTGAGAGACAGAATGAGAGGAAGAGAGAGCACGAGAAGGGGGGAAGGTCAGAGGGAGAAGCACACTCCCCCCTGAGCAGGGAACCCGACACAGGACTTGATCCTGGGACTCCAGGATTATGACCTGAGCCAAAGGCAGTCGCTTAACTAACTGAGCCCACCCAAGCGCCCTAAACTGTCCACTTCTTGAGGCCAAGACTGCATTTCATCTTTATATGCTCCAATGCTCTTTGCATAGGGCCTTATATACATTATGCACTCAATAAATGATTATAGAATTGAGAACAAATTTGAAATGTCCAAAAAAATAAAATGCTACTGAATTACTTGATTTGAAAAAAACTAAGTTAATACCCATACAACGGTATATTACCCAGCATAATAAAGGCCCCACTGACTAGTACTTAAACAACATAGGCAAATCTCAAAATAATTATCTTGAATGAAAAAAGTCAGAACAACAAAAAAAAGCATGTACTGTATGATTCCATTTATATCTAGAAAATTCAAACTAATCTATAGTGATAGAAAGCAGACCAGTAGCTGCCTGGGTATGGGGTGAGGGGTGGAAGGTGAACAGGGAGAGTGGGGAGGAACAGGAAGGAGGGATTACAAAAGGGCATGAGGAAACTTTCGAAGTGATGACTATGTTTGCCATCTTGGTTTTGGTGATAGTTTCAGAGGTATTTATATTTTGACATAAATATCAATACTTAACAAAATTGTACATATATGTGTTTGCTATGTGTCAATTATTCCTCAATTAAGTAGAAGAAGGTAAAGGAGGGATGGAGAGAGGGAAGAAAGAGAAAGGGAGGGAAGTTATATGAATAAGCTACATGACAACCTGCCTGGCAAGCTCACTCATCAGCACAACCTAAGAGAAGTTTCTATCAAGTCATCAAAATGTTCTCACTGGACTCCTCCCCAACAACCTAATAGTAAGAGTAAGAGAAGGAGTAACAGCAGTCACATTTACCAGACACTGTTCTGAGCACTTTACAGGTATTCTCTAATTTGTCATAACTTTATGAAGTATATACTACATATTATTATCCCCAAATTATAAACAAAGAGACTGTGACTCACATGTGGTCTGCATGACTCACATCCTGTACTTTTAAGCACCATACTACAATGCCTTCCTAATGACTGTCAACTCATCAACCATCCCTTCTCTCCTGGGTTACCCATTTATTTAACAGGGCCTCACAATAAGGGAAATATTTTCCAAAATTACTCAACAAACAAGCAAAAGTGGAAAACAGAAACCTCAATGACTGCTTCTCAGTTAACCAAATTATTCTAGCTATCATAGATGATTGTGATTCAATCTTTCTAGGCAAAGTACATTAACCTAAAACACCCTAAAGACCCTGACGTTATGAGTAAATCAGTCATGATCCTGTTTCTCTAGCTCTCACTGCAGTTGTGTATCTAGAAGAAATTGATATTAGACTTAAGATGGAGATGATTTAGCAGACATTAAAAGAACAAGGAAAGAAGTGCTTTAGAATGGAGGAGGTAAAAGAGAACATCCTATTTCTTAATTTTTGTTTTTGCTATAAAATAACTCCAGACAGCTACACAAAAGTGTGTTATGCATCATGTAAGCGTTTTCAGACTACATACCTAGTTGTGCCCAAAGTGGGTTATATGGATGAGTTTTTGCCAACATGTCCACACTCTGAGAGGAATGTTTTTCTAAAAATATTTTTATAGGTGGTTGTCCATTTGGCATGACCGTTGGAACCCAGGCAAGATGATTGGTCAGAACTGCAGTAATGAGTGCTGGCAAGAATCTGAAAACAAAACACATCCTATCAGACTCCAGTCTGCCTTCATTAAGCCTAATGTAAAATGCCGTGACAGAATAAAGCAGAGAGAGTACATACTCTCATGTAGCCGAACAGCATAAAAAAAGGAGAGGAAAGAAGAAAAGATAGGCATATCACCTGGATGAAAATGAAAATAAATTTTTGGTTGGGTAGGAGTTAAAAAAAAATCCTTAAAATAAAAAACAGTATTCACACAGAGCTGTATCTGATCATAATTATAAAGCAAAAATGCCATTTTACTTGAAAAACTGATTTCTTTTCAGTGTTTATAATGAATCAACCAACAGGACTAAATATTTCCAAATTACTGAATGGGAAAATGAAGAAAGTATTAAGCAAACTTTGTCTACCATCAAAAAGATGGCTTCTAGGAATTTGATGAATGGTTACAAGCAAACAGTATGATAAAATATCACATTAAGTATGTATCTTTGGAATCCTGGCACTTCCTCTTTTTTTTTTTTAACTTATTTTCTATGGAATGAAACTGTGTATGTAAGTGGATGCAATTCACCAAAAAATGGGAAGCCTCAGAGAGTTCTGTAAGTTGTCAGGAATTTTAATTTAACACATGATTAAAGACCTTTTTACTGTTTTTTATTCATTTCATTCATTTTACTGTTTTCTGTGGCTTTCATCCATAGCCTATCTCTTAATTATCTTTTAGAATTCTGTTTTGGTTATTAATAATAAGAAATAATTCCCAAAAACCCAGTTATTTATTTCACTTTTGTAACTGGGTTTGATCACAATCTAGATATCAAGTTATAGTAAATAATGTCTAAGATATAAAGAGAGACAAAGAGAGAAAGCCATACTGATTTTTGGAAGCATTTTCCATTAGAAAAGTGAACTCCTTCATGAAACGATGGCAAAGCTGGTTCTTTTCTGGAGTCCCCGACATCATTGTAAGCCAGACAGGCTCTCCAATTCGTGGCATTGTATAAAGATTACAAATTGTTGTTCTAAAAAGAGGAAAATACATTATGAAATTCATACTCAAATTATGAAATTCATCCCAAAATTACATACTCTTAAAGTTTATGTTACCAGTTCGGGCCTCACAGGTAGATTATTAAAGCTTTCAAGAGGACACAATGAATCAAGTCATTCCTTCTTTGTCACCAGCATAGTACCATAGGAAATGTTCTACACATGAACTCAAAATATGTTGGTTCTGGGGCTGGCTCTAGCCCCAATGACTGTGTGCCCTCAGGTAAATTACTTCCCTATTTTAAAGCATCAGTTTCCTCCACCTGTAGAATGAGAGCATAGGACTGGATAATTTCTAAAGTCCTTCCTGCTCTACATTTCTAAGGTATATGCCATACTTAAATATAATGCAAATTATCAACAACCTACAAAAGAAAAATATTCTGAATTGGATAATAGCTTATCCATATACCCACTCAAAACAATACTTTATCAGCATCATTTTGTTGCCATGCTGAAACTCTTTAGTAAAATTCTGAAGGATGATGAGGACACTATATCTGCATACAGTATTTTACGACTCTCAACCTCCTGAAGCTTTTCCTTGAATCAGCACAAGAGAGCATTATTGCACAGTTATGATGTTTTCTGGCTGCTTTCTCTTGCATTTACTTAGACAATAGCTAGTCCCATGACTTGCACTTTCTCCTTAAAGCTTCATGGATATCTTTAAGATATCAATCATTTTCCTTCTACGTTAATATCTGTTCAGCCAAGTCCTATACACTCACTAGATTAAGAAACTCCTACAAAGTTGAGGCTTAAGAAACTAGCTGATCTCTTGGAAGATACAGAATGGTGCTGTACTTTCTATTCTCTAGAACAGTACTATATGATAGAACTTTTGGCAAAGATGGGAATGCTCTGTATCTATGATATCCAGGATGGCAGCCACTACCCATATATGGTTACTGAACATGAAATGTGGTCACTTTGATGAACTGAATTTTAAATTTTATTTAAGTATCCACATGTGGCTAATGGCTACAATATTAGAAAGTACAGCTCTAGAAAGTTCTCTGAGATCTTTGCAAGCTCTAATACCTACTTCAGCATAATTCTCTAACACCTAGAATCCAAAAAAAGAAAAGAATTCTCTTGCCTGTACAAGTTTTATTGAATCTTGACCCAGTATGAAGATGAGATAATATAATTAATAAAAGTGATAAACACAGGTCACATTATGAGTTCTTGGTCGGGCATGATATCATGGCTGAGAACTTTAAAAGAAATAAATAAATGGAAGGAGTTCAAGGTATTTTATAGAGAAAAATATGATTCAAATATCAACTAGGAATATGTGAAAATGCTAAATGCTAAACCCTATTAAGGATGTCCAGATAAGATGGAAAAGCAAACACCAGTGTTTATCTCCTTTCAGTTCTGATGTCTCAAATGAGTATCAGTTAAGAATTTGAAACTACTATAACAAATAAAAATGGAGAGTAATCTTATTTAAAACTCAAATTACAGATTTAATAAAATTGTGCAACCCAAAACATAAGAGAGGAATGTTAAGTGAAGGTAGATGAACATATGGGTTTATAGTGCTCAAAGAAGGGAATGTGTACATAAAGGAGCTAATCTGCTCCACTGAACAAGAAGAGGCTCAGGACTCACAAGTTTCTAGTAAAGTTGAGGGCAGGAGTTATATAGGACTATAAACTGGTAGATTAATTCAAGGTCTGTAAATGGTTGGTGACCTCTTTCTATAACCTATTTTCCCAAAGAACAACTATAGACAGAAGAACAGACGTAGCAACTGACTAGTCCAGAGAAGTAACACTGCCCAAACCCTTCCTGATATTTGAATCTTTCACAGTATATAAACATATACAGTAAATCTTGGGGCATTAAAATGTCATGGGAAGAAGGGACCACAATTAGGAGAAAAAATGTGTTAAATATGCCCCTTCAGGAACTGATAATGAAAACAGGTTGAGAAACACCGCCCTAAAGTGAAGTTCTCCAGTTTGTACCTAATTATGCACAGAACTCCCAACCCATATTTTAGTACTTTGCTCTTAACTATGGACAGGCAACCACAATATTGATACAGAGGGAAAGCCTCCAAGGACAGAGGGACACAAACAGAAAAACGGAAACACACACACACTCACAGAAAAGGACTCCAGAGAAAATAGTAAATAATACATTCAGAAAAAGGGAAACATGAAAGAGATATAAAAGATCAGTCAAGGAATGCCAATTACTAACAACAACAAAAAAATTCAAACAGAGGAAAATAGATAAAGAAAGTAGAAAATTTACCAGAACTGAAAGACAAGCTAGTGCTAGAGCTATAGTGAAGCTAAATGACCAATGGGCAGGTATAAAGTCATGGCAGGAAATAAATATGCTCCAAAACGGATAAATCAGGAAATAGCTGCATTAAGTATACTGCTTAATAATGTGGAGGTAAATAACAAAAGAAATAGGTAAGAGTTAAAAACAATGTTCTTGGGAAGTAAGAATGGCAATACTCGGAGAGATAGGCTAGAGTTCATTTCTTTTTCATTATTAGATTTCTGGGCATGTTTTGTTTGTTTCTTAACCATGTAAATATACTTTCTGATTACAAGAAACACTGTATACATGAATGAATGAGATGATCAATTCGTTTTCCATGAGTTTCTTAAGCATATTTGTAACTACTACAAGTCCATGTGTCATAGGTCAGAGCCAGTTTACTAACATTAGTATAGTGGTCCAGTGAGGACATTAGCTTTAGAATTTGGTGTTTAAGGCTATGTACTATGACCTCAGAGTGTATCAAATGCAAAGAAGGCAAAGAAATTAATTATGCAATAGTGCTTCTCATTATATACAACTCTGTGTTGTCATCAGCAATCTAGAACTAATAGGGTTTTCTTCTCCCCTAATGATTATTCCCTAATTTTCAATGGTAAGCAAGAATTTTTAGTCATCTGACCCTTTATTTTTCCTGATTGACCCTAAAGAATAAAAGACTCCTTTAGTTGGAAGGGAACTGTGGACCTGATTTAGTTTTCTTTGATATGCACAAAGTCTGAGTGAGAATCCAAGAACCACATCTTTGCCAAATGGCTCCTAACTAAACATGCTCTTCCTGTTTTTCTAGGTTTCATGGCTTCTGCATGCATGTGAATCATTTCCTTCCTCTTCTCAACTACCCCAGAATCATTAATCATCTGGTCTCAGATAATCACATACTTTAAAAATTATCTAACTGCTAATTTTTAATAATTTTAAAATTAAGTATGATGGATTCACATTATTTGCAGTAATGTTCTATAAAGCTGATGCAAACAATGAATTAGTGAACAATGAATCACTGTTCCTAGGGAAAATACATGGTTAGGTTCCTGTGAATCTCTCATCAACATTTTTGTCAGCCCTTCAATACATAACCTTGTTTTATGTGGGTTTCTGTTTAAAGACACCTTATTTAATATACTACTGATTCATTAACACTGAATTCACAGCCAATAGCACTATGACTCATGCCTGAATGAAGCTTACATGAATTCTCTCTACAAGGCATAGCATAGTTTTCTTGCACTTTGGAACATCAGATAGCATTTCAGCAATACACTTGGGGGTGATTTTTAATAGCAAAATCACTAACAAAAAGTGCAAAATGCCAAAAGACTGCCACTAAATACATGTCAAAAGGACACTTGTTTATAGAATGAGTGCTGAAACAAGAAGGCAGAGCACTGTCTTGTTCAACCTCATCTAGGAATGTATCAGGCTACTCAAATTTTTCACTGCTCTGCACATGTTACAAATGATCATAAAAGCACTGTGAGTATATTTTGAGGCTATAAATTTCAGCAAGTAGATGAATTCGCACATACACAATCTGTATATAATGAGGATCAAATGGATATATTTAAGTACTTCTATTGAGAGACCTTTTAATAAAAATTATAAGAGTTTATAAGTATTTTTTTAGTTTTATTTATTTATTTGAGGGGGGGCAGAGGGAGAGGGAGAAGCAGACTCCCTGCTGAGGGTGGAGCCTGACCCAGGGCTCAATCCCAGGACCCTGAGATCAAACCCTGAGGTGAAGTCAGACACTTAACCCACTGAGCCACCCAGGTACCTAAAAAAGTATTTTTAGGATTTTTTAAGAATGCTTAACTGACTTACATAGACTTTCATATTTGTACAGTGACTGAAGTAAAATAAACTAATACAAAAGGAAAGGTACACAATCATACATTTGCAATGATTTTACAACTCATACATATTGTAAATTCTAGGCAATATTAAAATTCTAAAGCTAGGCCATATAGATTACCTAATAACATACCAATTAACTCACAGGTATTCTACTAGGAATGAATTTTCTGACAATATTTACTATTCTGGTAACCTCAGCTGGATCTATAACGACAGTTTCTTCAGACCTCAAATAGAGACTCCTGGCCTTTTTCCACAAAGCTTGTGATTGCAGAGAAGAAACTATCAACCCAATAATGTAAAAGTAACAGTTCCAAGTGCATGGGCAAAGATTCACTGCTTTATAACACTGCAAAATGTGAAACTCAAAAAGAATATTGCAGGATTCTTTTAGGCGTATAGGCAAAAAGAACTGTTCAAACATATATTTGTAATAATTCCAGTCTAAAGTCAACTGAACAATTTGAATAAAATAAAAAATTTTTTAAATTATTAACAAAATACCCGATCATTCATAGCACATTTCTTTTAAAGTTATATTATCCACTTGAGGAAAAGCAAAACTCTTAAGAATCTTTGGTTGAACTTCCAAGCACACTACAGATTAAATTTAGAAATTGAAAAGATCAAAACTTTTCATACTTCTCAAAAACCACTTATATCCATGACAAAGGCGTATTTTATAGGTTTCTCAAAGAGAAATCACTGTAGAATTCTTTTTCTGAGTCATGCAATTAAAGTAAAATTTCCTAGCTATGTAAATACAGATGAACTGGGCTACAAGGGAAGGTATGAAGAGCAAAGC